AGTGTCTGCAGTTGTATATCCTTTTGACATTCCTTTGTAAATTTTTGGGAAAAAGCCTTTTTTATATCAGACAACCCAGAACTTCCCAGTTTTCAGTTATTTATTCATTCAATAAATATTTAGGTGCTAGTTTTATTGTGTCCTACTTTGGGACATACAGTAATGAATAATACAACAGTAAAATGGTCTCTGCCTTCATGGATTTTGTTTTCCTGGAAGTGGGAACAAGGGATGATAGCGCAGTAGGAGCCATGATGGGGGAAGCAAGGGGGGTCCAGGGAGGAATCTGGGAGGAAGTGATGTCTTGGCTGAGTCAACCCAATAATGTGGTGAAGGAAGGGCTGGGGCACTATCACTTACCAAGGCCCAGAGGTGACGGGACCCGGTATGTTTGGGTAACTGTAGGTAGTCCAGACTGATTGGAGTGGAGTGTGAGGTAAAATGTGAGAGGTGCATGAGCTAGACCTTTAAGTTGAGTTGGGTAGTCCTATGTTTCCCAAAACTAGCTTGATTATAAGAGTCTTTAGGGGCATTTGTTAAGAATGAAGATTCCAGCTTCCTCCCCTGGGGGTTTTGATATAAGCTTCTGATACAAACAGGTACAATAAAACCCTTGCATTTGACTCTTTGCTTTCCTTGGGATTTGGTTATACTATAGAACATTCATATCCCATTCTCATGAATAAGGAGAGCCATAAAGTGCAAAGAAGGCTTAATCCTTTCTTACCCTTTCCCTATCTTTCTCCTGTACCTCTTGGGTACCCAGTGTCCCATTGGTTCCCTGTCTGTTCACGAATTTCACTGGGCTTTCTAACTGGGGCCAGAGTTCTGCCTGGATATTTAGTTAGGGCTCTCTGTATCGTTTCTTTTCTTTTTTTAAATTTAATTAATTAATTAATTTCTGGTTGCGTTGGGTCCTCGTTGCACGCAGGCTTTCTGTAGTTGCCGCAGGCAGGGGCTATTCTTTGTTGTGGTGCATGGGCTTCTGATTGCAGTGGCTTCTCTTGTTGTGGAGCATGGTCTCTAGGTGCGCACGCTTCAGTAGTTGTGGCATGCGGGCTTTGTTGCTCCGCCGCATGTGGGATCTTCCCAGACCAGGGCTCGAACCTGTGTCCCCTGCATTGGCGGGCGGATTCTTAACCCTTGCACCACCAGGGAAAACCTCTGTAATTTCTGGGTGGGCTTGAAACATTGTCTGACATTAGTATAAAAATGACATTTTATTGTATTTCTTTTAATGAAATATTCTTGAAATGAATGATAATGAAGAGTAATCATTTCTAGTTCAGAATTCCCAAAGTGATATTCCAGTCATTTCAGTTTCTTCACTGGGGGCTTTTCTATTTTGTATTTGCCAAACTACCATATTTTCTGATCAGGAAGTTACTGTGACATTTACATAGGGCAAGTATTAAAAAAATGAAGGCTATTCTTAGGCACTGTATGAGGATTCTCCTTATATAAATCAGGGAAGATGACTGCTTCAGAAGAAGGGAAACATATGGGAAGTTTGGTTGAATATTGGTACAATAGTATTTTAATAAAATTCTAAGGTTATTAATTATATCTTAACTTTTAGAAATTATTTTTGGATTTGGACTGCTATTAGATTTTTAAAAAATGATGCTCTGGCCAGGACTTCTTAGAATTTCTGAATCCTGTAACATCCCACTGCTCTCTCTACATTTTCCTCAGTACATTTAGAGTGATGTATTTTCACAAGGATCAGACTGGCAAAGGGAAGCAGAGTGATACTTGATTCTTGACTAGTTCCTGAAACTTCAGTGTAGAGATTTCTGGCAAACTGGTCTGAAGCATTTGGAGTTTCCTATTTTCCTAAACTAGTTAGCTTTGGACTTGTGTGATATCTGCTCTATTTCATCTTTTGTGGTGACAAATCTGACTCTGCACTGGAGAAGGAGTCTGAAAAGAGTGAGTTATACCAGGTGCACTACCTTTTTCCTGTAGTTACTTTTCCACTAGCAAGCATTGCCTAATAAATACCCTGCAAAAAGTCTGATCAATCAGATTAGTAATGTTTCTGTTTGATCAGATGGGGGTGGAACTTTCCTTTCCTAGCTGTTAACATTCGTTTTATCAGTGTTTCTCATTAAAATATTTCATAGAAATAAATGTTTAGACATTAAAATTACCTGCAGTGATTTAATGATGGGTTATTTATTAAATGTTCTTGGACATGTGTTGGCATTCTTTCTTAAAATTATTTGGTTTTGAATAATTAATATTTAATGGTTCCAATTTAAAATATTTAGGCTGAGATAGTAATATAGAAACTAAATGAGTAAAAGAAAATCAGACTGAATAAATTTAACAAGAGAAGTGTAAAACTTGTACTCTGAAAACTACAAAACACTGTTGAAAGAAATTAAGGAAGACTAAATAAATGGAAAGATATCCTGTATTAGAGGATCAGAAGATTTATCATTAAGATGTCACTTTTCCCTAAATTGATCCACAAACTCATTGCAGTCCTCATAAAAAAACTGGCTGTTTTGAAGAAATGGATGGGCTGATCCTAAAATTCATATGGAAATTCAACCCAGAGTAGTCAAAACAGTCTCAAAAGAGAACAAAGTTGGAAGACTCACACTTCCGAATTTGAGAACTACAAAGCCACAATGATCCAGATTGTGTGGTACTGGCATAAGAATAGACATATGATCAGTGGGATAAAATTGAAAGTTAAAAATTAAACCCATACATCTGTGGTCACTTGATTTTTCACAAGGATACCAAGACCATTTAATGAAGAAAGAATAGTATTTTGAACAAATGGCGCTGGGACAAGTGGGTATCCATATGCAAAAGAATGAATTTGAACCTCCGCCTCATACTGCATAATAAATTAACTAAAAATATATCATAGCCCTAAATGTAAGATCTAAAAGTGTAAAACTTTTAGAAGGACACATAGGTATAAATCTTCATAAACTTAGATTAGGCAAAGCCTTCTCAGGTATGACACCAAAAGCACAAGTGACAAAATAACAAATAGATATATTGGATTTATCAAAATTAAAACCTTTTGTGCCCTATTAGATACGACCAAGAAAGTGAAATGACTACTCAGAGAATGGGAAAAAAAATTTGCAAATCATATATTTCATAAGGGACTTGTATCTACAACATATAAAGTACTTAAAACTCAATAATGAAAGACAAACAACTCAATTAAAAAATGGGCAAAGTGACTCATAAGGGGAAGAGGTTTCTTTTTTGAGATAATGAAAAACTGACTGTGGTGATGGTTGCACAACTAAGTTGAATACTTTAATGGATGAATTATATTTCAAAAAACCTGTTATATTAAAAAAAAGAAAATAGGACTATAACGTGTATGTATAGAAGGGTAGAAATTTTGTGAGAACCAGGTGATGGAGGAAATAATTTTAATTGTGACATCAAGGTAAGGGTTGATTGAAGTGAGATTAAGAGAAATCTTTGCTTCACTTTTTGGTCAATAAATATTACTTTTACCAAAAACCTGGAAAAATCCTTCCTTTTTTTTTTTCTATAAGCAGAAATGAAAGATGACTGTAAATATTGGTATAAGATAATTTGTGCTGGTTCACTTTCCCTTTTTTGAATCAAAAGTTGCTGCCAGATCTTACAAGGCAGCATAGGTGAAATAAAAAAACTCACACTGGAGGCCAGAGTTCCCTGAAGTGGCCTTAAAATTCAAGACAGCAATTTTTTTTTTTTTTTTTGCCATACGCGGGCCTCTCACTGTTGTGGCCTCTCCCGTCGCAGAGCACAGGCTCCGGACGCGCAGGCTCAGCGGCCATGGCTCACGGGCCCAGCTGCTCCGCGGCATGTGGGATCTTCCCGGACCGGGGCACGAACCCGTGTCCCCTGCATCGGCTCTCAACCACTGCGCCACCAGGGAAGCCCTACAGCAAATTTTGAAATGAAAACAAAGTTTGATTTATAGATTCATATAATTTAGGCTTTGTTCTAGTTACTAGGGCTATATATTACTTATCCCCAAACAGTCATTTATTTTGTTTATACCTTTTTTGGGTCTAAAATTAGAACAGCGTCCAGTGCTTATGTCTTGACTTTGCTGCATGATGTCTCAGGCCTCTGTTGGAAGACTCAGAGACTCAGGGCTGGGTCATTTGTTGCCTTGCTCACTTACATGTTCGGTAATTGCTACTGACTTTCAGCTGATGGACTCAGTTTCTCTGGGTATCGGTGTCTCTGTGTGGTTTCTCCACATCAGCTAGTTTGGGCTTCACAGCAATGGTGTCCAGGTTCCTAGGGCAAGCATCCTGAGAGAGTGAGAGCACAGACAAGCTGTCCCACATTTATCGCCCACCTTCAGAAGTCAGGCAGTGTTCGTCTGCCACACTCTATTCATTGAGGCAGTCACAGTGTCCTCAGGTGCAAGTGGAGGGAAATAATCTTTAGTTCTTGATGGGGAGGGGCAGCATACTAGAGGCACATAAAAATACTGGTCTGGAAATACTGTTGTGTCCCTTTTTTGAAAAACACAGGCTGCCACAGACCTGGAAGGGGAACTTAGAGATCATCTGGTCCAGTTCCCTCATTTTATAGATGAGGACACTGAGGCTGAGAAGAAGGGGTGTAACATGGCCACGGTCATGGCCTGTGGTCAGACTGGGCTGGAATTTAGCTTTCCTGACTCTAGGCTAGGGTCTTCCCTACTATACCACTTTTTTTCATTTTGCGGAATACGTAGTTCATTCACTCAAGTCATGAGTGGTCCTCCCCTCAGAGTTTTCTTAGGCTAGCAGACAGGATGATATAGGCAAAACTGCTGACATCGTGCTTGGCATGGAGTGGGCACGCAGAAAGCATTTTTAACCCTTCTTCCCCACTTTGTGTTTTATCCAAAGAGGGCCTTGTTGACATGTTGTGTATAGACTGTGCCAACACAATGGAATAGAGTCACTTCCCCAGCATGTGGAAATTAAATGGTAAATCTAGTTGAAGATTTTTTATTTGCCCCTTTTCAGGTGCTCAGAATTTTGATGTCATACGACTGTCAACTTACAGAACAGCTTGCAAATTGCGATTTGTGCAAAAACGATGCAACCGTAAGTCATTTCTACTCATTTCTATGATAGCTGGATAGAGCTCTTGATAATATAGAAGATTTTAATGTGTTTTAGTCATATTGTAATGTTAATTGAATTATTTTGTCTTAAGTGTTTATCAGAATATAAGCTTTGTGATGGAAAGAGCTTGTTAATTTATTCTGGTGTCCCTCAAAAAATTTAAGAAACTCAATAAGGTGACTAGTTTTGAGATTAATTAATTATTTTTTTAAAAAATGATTTATTTATTTATTTATGGCTGTGTTGGGTCTTTGTTGCTGTGCGCGGGCTTTCTCTAGTTGCGGTGAGTGGGGACTCCTCTTCCTTGCGGTGTGTGGGCTTCTCATTGCGGTGGCCTCTCCTGTTGTGGAGCATGGACTCTAGGCACGCGGGCTTCACTAGTTGTGGCATTCGGGCTCAGTAGTTGTAGCTTGCAAACTCTAGAGTGCAGGCTTAGTAGTTGTGGCACACGGGCTTAGTTGCTCCGCGGCATGTGGGATCTTCCCGGACCAGGGCTTGAACCCGTGTCCCCTGCATTGGCAGGCGGATTCTTAACCACTGCACCACCAGGGAAGTCCCAAGATTAATTAATTCTTTAAATGGGAGAATTCATTTCTCCTTGTCACTGTTTTTAATACAAAGTTTTATGTAAAATTAATACAGTTTATCAGCTTCTGGAGAGAAAGAAAAACTAATATTTTGATAAAGGCATAATAAAAATTAACTTTCTTGTTTAAACTTAATATAACACAAATCAGCCTTTTCTATAAGCGGTTGCTTCCACAATTGCTACTTATAAAATACGTAAATTAAAATATTTGTAAAATGCATATAAAATCTTTCTTAATTTGTGTGCAGATGAACTGACTTAGAATTATTGTACTTGTCTCAGATATATGTGTGTGTGTGTGTGTGTGTGTGTATTAATGAAAAACTGTTTTGTGTAATGGAAAGAACATTAGCCTTAGAATGGGAAAACCTGTTTTACTCCAGGTTTTGTTTGTCATTTATTATAAACACGTGACCTTGGACAAGTCACTTTATATTTAAATACTTCTACACTACTTTAAGTCCTACTCAAAAATCCTAGCTTAAAATTCTCTCCAAAGAGTTTACCGTACCATCCTAGACTGAAGTCATGTTTCTTCTCTGGTTTCCCAAAGCATTGTTTTCAAATTATGGGTTGTGACCTGTTAATGGTTCCTGAAACTGTTTTGGTGAACTGTAGCCAGAATTTAAAGCATGTAATGGAGAAAAAAAAAGAGAAAGAAAAAAAAGTCAGAACGTAGCTTATGTGGTAAAGTATTTTGTGAAACGTGTTTTTTATATATCTAGAGGGGTGTGTGTGTGTTGATTTAAATATATTTGCATGTTGTCAGAAAGTTTGAAAACCGCTGTCCTACAGGAACTACCATTTTTATACTTCTTCCCATAATTATTCTTGGAACACAGTAGTCTATGTGTGGGCTGAGCCAGGCTAGTGGCATTAGTAATATAAAGTAAAAGATGCATTGTTCTAGCAGTTTTATTTTGTCACATATGATTCTTCAGTCTACCAGATTACTCCAGGTTATAAGTAGGAGTCAGATTTCAATTTTTTCCATATATATGTTCAGTTGACCCTACACTATTTATTGAAAAGACCATCCTTTTTCTTCATTACTAAAAAAATCTTTTTCTCATATTCATTAGGAGAAATGTACAAGAATGTTCATAGCTGTGTCCATATGTGAGAGGATCTGTTTTTGGACTCTGTGTTCCATTGGTCTGTTTGTCTATCCTTATACCAATAATCACTGTTAGAGCTTTAGGGTTAGGGTACTTTTGTTCTATTTTACTTTTTAAGATTGTCTGAGACATTCTTGGCCTTTTTACATTTATTTTCACACAAATTTTAGAATTTGCTTGTTAATTTCTACTAAAAATGAACAAAAACAAAGATTTGTGCTGGGATTTCTTTCCTTCATTTTTTTTTTAAAGTATAATTTACGTATAATAAAATTCATCCTTTTAATGTATAGTCCTGTGGGATTTTGTTGGGACTACACTGAATCTGTAGATCAAGTTGGGGAGAAATTGATGTATTTCCAGTGTTGAGATTTCATTTCTGTGAACCTGATATATTCCTCCATCTATTTAGGTCTTTAAGTTTTGCTAATTTATATATTTTTTGGTAGAGATATTGCACATCCTTTATTGGATTTATTCCTGAGTCCTCGTGTATGTTTAGAAATACAGTGACTTTCATATCTTGATTTGTACCTAGCAGTCATTCTAGACTCAAATATTAATTTTAGTGATATACATGCAGAATCTTTATGATTTTCAATGTGTATAATTTTGTCATTTCTGAATAATGACAGTTACTTTTATTTCCTGTACTGATAATTACTGCATATTTATATAGGTTAGGATTTGAAATACGATAGGAATGATGACAGTGGGCATTTCTTATCTTATTCCCAATATCAGAGGAATGGCTTTCAACATTTTACTATTAAGTAATATGTTTGCTGCAGTTTTTTGTAGATATCCTTAATCAGATTAAGGAAATTTCCAAGTAGTGTGTTTATTCATTTCTAAAGATAAAGTTTATTTTAAAAGTTTTCTTTTTGATAATGATTTCTGACAATTTCATTTTGATCATAGAGCATGGCTTATATGATTTTAATCCTTTAAAATTTATTGGGATTAGTTTTATGACTCAGGATAAGGTCAGTTTTTTTACATGTTCTTTGTGTTATTGAAAATAAAGCATATTTTCTAATCACTGGGGGCAGGACTTCATATAGTGTCCATTATGCCTGCCTTGTTAGTTTGTCTATGATTGTACTTATTTTTTTTGTATGTTTGCTCTGTCACTTGCTAAGAGAGGTGTGTTAATATCTCCCACAAAGTCTGTGAATTTGTCTCTTTGAGGTTCTGTTACATTTTCATTGTGTATTTTTGAAGCTACAAAGGGGAGGCAAAACTTTACCTCTACCCTCTCAGGGTCTCCAGCGGAGCCTGAGAATTAAATTGACATAAGACAGATTAACAGGAGAAAAGCATATGGATTTTTACATGTACATAGGAGCCCCCATAGGAAAATGAAAACCCAAAGGAGTGAGTGGGCCTAAGTGCTTATATACTAAGTTGAACAAAGAGTGGCAGTTGTGGAAAAATAACTAAAATATGTCAGGAGACTAAAGATAAGAGCTATTTTAACGAAGTCTGCAGATTTCACTCAGACTCAATTCACTGTCTCTGGTGATGAGGATGTTTCTTTCCTCTTGGAATAAGGAGGGCGTTTTTCACATGGGACTTTTACTTCCTGCTTTTGGGAAGAAGAGGGGAGGTCAGAATGTCCTTCTTGGCATCTGCTGTTTTTCAGGAGTCTTTAGCTCAAACTACTCCGTATGCCAAAGTGGCATATCTTGGGGTGACATATTCTGCCACCCTTCACTATTCTATTAAATGTAAGTAAATGTAAAATTCTTATATCTTTCTGCTGAATTAAAACTTTTGAATTGTTGAAAAAGTTACAAAATAAACACAAAGTTTGTGTTGACAAAATAAACACAAAGTTTATTTTCTTTGTGTTCCAGTACATCTTGTTGATATTTGGAACATGATTGAAGCCTTCCGAGACAATGGCCTTAATACACTGGACCATACCACTGAGATCAGTGTGTCTCGCCTCGAGACCGTCATCTCATCCATCTACTACCAGCTGAACAAGCGCCTTCCTTCTACTCACCAAATCAGTGTGGAACAGTCCATCAGCCTCCTCCTCAACTTTATGATTGCTGCATATGACAGGCTAGTACCTGCCCTGCTTAATCCATTTTAAGAATGTTTCTCTTCTAATCATCCTTCTTCCGTACTGCCTTGCCAAGGGTTGTCAACTTAGAATCACAGTTAAAAGGGAAATGAATTAGTACAAGTCCCTTCTAAAGACTGGTTAAATGCCAGAGTGACTTACTGTCTTGGGGCATGTCACATATTAACCTCTGTAACATTAGGGAGATTCACAACACTTGAGACATAATTGTTTGGTAAAATTGTCGGTACCTTAATATAGCTGTTCTCTATCCAGTGAAATATAGCCAAGTGGTACATTTGATTATGAGGCTTTCTATTTGACTTTTAAACTAACTTTTCTTTACTATGTGATAGCAATTGCCTTTGGACTATATAGTACCTTGTTTTCTCTTTATTTATGTTTAGGAGTCTATTTTAATTCTTTTCAATGTAGAACATTGTGTTCTAAACCTTAAAACAATAGAAGAAAACTAAATGTCCTCCAAATTAAAACAGAAATGAGTTGTTATATTTGTATTTATGGAGAATTAAGTTGGTATGATAAAAAATAAAAAAGAAATCATAAATGTTGGAAGCACAGAGGTTAATATTTATTTTCCGGGAACCAGGAGTTCAGATGTCTGATCCCTGCTGTACTATCAGCAATGTGATTTGGATGGGTTAATTCTCTCTGCTTCATTTTTCTCTCTGTAGGAAAATGAGTTCATATATTTGTAGAATGCTATTAGTTATACTTCATAATATTGAGGGTTCTGTGAATTAATGGTAAAACCATACAAATGTCAAGGCCAAGTCACAACATAGGCACTCACTAAATTCACTTTTTTAAAAAAATTAATTAATTAATTAATTTTTGGCTGTGTTGGGTCTTCGTTTCTGTGCGAGGGCTTTCTCTAGTTGTGGCGAGCGGGGGCCGCTCTTCATCGCGGTGCATGGGCCACTCTTCATCGCGGTGCACAGGCCTCTCGCTGTCGCGGCCTCTCGTTGCGGAGCACAGGCTCCAGACGCGCAGGCTCAGTAGTTGTGGCTCACGGGCCCAGTTACTCCGCGGCATGTGGGATCTTCCCAGACCAGGGCTCGAACCTGTGTCCCCTGCATTGGCAGGCAGATTCTCAACCACTGCGCCACCAGGGAAGCCCCCACATTTTTATAAGATGTTATCAAATGAGATATTCCATCCATTTAATAAAAAATTATTTAAAGAAATTTGAATTTTTAAAACATGAGTGTACATGTAGCGTATGTCCCAGAATTCTAATGCCATTTTTTTTAGCAGTTAATCTGGTAGGTTAAGTTTATACTGTCCAAGGAATGACTCTTCTGATCTAAAAACCTTAGTAAAAACCATTATTCTGTGGTGAGTAAGCAGCACCTTATCGTGACACTGACTCACTGAGTAAGTCACTTCAGGGCCACACAACACAAATTAATTTAAGAAACTTTTTAAAGTCAGAAATAAAAGTCATCTTAGAGCTAAAAATGATAAAGCAGAGATTATAAACTTTGACTCCATAATTATATCAAATAAGTACTACGGCTGAAGAAGGGAGGAGAAGAGAGAGTGAAGAGATAGCAAAAGGGAGAATGGGAAGACCAAAGTTAAGGGCAGAAGGTACAGAGGTGTCCTGGGACACAGTTGGAGAAAGCCGGACACAGGCAGAAAGAGACAAAGGAAAAGAAAAAAGAGACAGTAAATCAGCAGGAGGGCACACTGAAGAGAACTAGGAAAGCAAAAAGAGACGAATGAGCTAAGAGTAAAGAATATAGTGTGGCAGGGGTGAGTTTGGTAATTCTCAAGTCATATCCTGTTTAAAATGTTGACTGTGGGCATCAGAATAAATCGTCACATCTTTACTGACCTTGAACTCTTCATATGATAAGAGCTTATTTAGTTAGCTCTCCGGAAATTTGAAATTCGCTTTCATGTACTGGAAAAAAGAAAGGATCTGGTTATCAGAATTTTATTTTTGAAAATCAGGGCATTTTGTTGTTAAATACTTCCAAAAGTAGTAGTCTCTTTATAGATTGGCCACTTTGTTATTTAGGCTGGAGAGTCCCTTTGGTATGTAGAATTCCTATTATTTTAACTGATCTTTTCAAGCTTTTGTATTTCATAATTTCTCAAAGTTAAAATTTGAATACAGCAATTAACTTAATTATTAAATTCCCTCACCTCCAAATTCATAGTCACATTTTTGGTCAGGTTGTTTCTGATTATTATAATAGATTGTGAGACCCTAAAACGATCATCAGGAACAAATAGGATCTAAGACTTTCTCCCTTAAGCATGTATTTTCTTAGGAATTAATTTTTTTAATACTTAGATGTAAAATATTTCACATTGGACAATTAAAAACATTGAAAAGTATGAAGAATGATATTATAAACATCTGTGTGTAGACTTTAAGCTAAGAGGAATAGCCAAAACATTCTGTTAGCCTCAGTTTTTTCCTGTTTCAGGTCCTCAGTACCACAGTTACAGTACCATAGGTACATGGTCTAGTCCGAAGGTACAACAGGTGATGCTCTAACCAACATTTTTTTCTTCTTTTTTTTGTTTTTGATAACAAGGATATCCAAATTCCCAGTGTGAGGGATAGGAAACCTTCCTTCCTCTTCTTCAGTTGAGCTGATTTAGTGATTTAGAGCTTGGGATTTATAAACCTCCTTTCTGTTTCCAACCTCGGTGTTAGTTCCACATCTTCAACTATAAGCAATAGAAAGCCTACTCAGATGGGCTTTCACAGTAACTGGAGCAATAGGCTCACATAACAGAGGAGCCAGAGACAGGATTGTGGTTGAATCAGGGCCCTGGCTGCATTTCTTCTTTTTTAAAAAATATTTATTTATTTGGCTGCGCCGGGTCTTTAGTTGTGGCATGGGGGATCTTTTAGTTGCGGCATGCGAGATCTTAAGTTGTGACATGCAAACTCTTAGTTGCGGCATGTGGGATCTAGTCCCCTGACCAGGGATCGAACCTGGGCCCGCTGCATTGGAAGCGTGGAGTCTTAGCCACTGGGCCACCAGGGAAATCCCTGCGTGTCTTTATAGTGGTCTTGGCTTTGACCTTCTCTTCTATTAGCTTCATCCTTATGCTGACTTCAAAAAATGCCTGCTACAGCTACTAAAATGCTTCCTGTCACGTCTAGGTGAGGGAGAGAGCCAGTTTTCTTTCAACACTGAACAAAAGTACCTGAGCCTCCACCAGATATGTGCGTTTGGGCCATGTATGTGTAAGTGGTAGGCTTTTCAGCTGAAACAAAGGATTTGTGCCTTTGGGGCAGAGGATAGTTAAATTCTCACCCTCACCCTGTATTGCCTCATCATGGGGATGGTTGGACTAGATATGAAGGTGATGACCACAGTGTTCACTACTAAACTCCTTGAAGTGCATTATAAACTTGTGGTTCCCTTTCTTGTTAAATAGTCCTACTCTCCATCCAGTTCCTTAAACCTGAGAGTCATTATAACTCTTCCTTCTCCGTCATCTCCCACATCCAGTCGGTTACCAAGTTCTTTCATTTCTACCTCTTGAATATCCTTCAGGTCTATGTACTTCTCTCCATCCCCACTGCTACCATCCCAGACCACCAGCATCATCTTTCGCCTGGATTACTGCTATAGCTTCTAAGTGATTTTTTTTTCATATACTCTTTTTTTCCCTCATTCATTCTTAGAAATAATAAACATCCACCAACCCACTATCTGACCCAGGAACTTGAACATTGACAATAATTTACATTTATCTCCTAACCCATCCCACTGAACTGCACTTAACTAAGGCGAACCCTATTCTGATTTTGTATTATCATTTCCTTGCGTCTTAAAAACCATTTTTGTTCACATGTATGGACATAAATAAAGTATTGTTTAATTTTAAATATTTTTACAATTAAAAAAAGAGTGTCATACTAATGTACTATTATCTGATTTATTTTTTTCAGCCAGTAACATATTTTAAAGATTCATTCATGTTGCATTTATCTATAGTTCAGTTATTTTAACTGTTATATAACATTCTGTTGTGTTTCTATACCATTCTGGTGTTTTCCAGATTTTTGCTCTAAGAAACAACTCTGCTTGGAATATTCTTATTTGTGTCCAAGTGTTTCTCTTGGTTCTAAACTGAGGAATAGAATTGCTGAGCTGTGGGGTATATGAAAGCTCAGATTTACTCTGAACTGATATTTAGAAAGTATAAAATTATTTTTCCAAATTGTACCCATACATAAGAGATCCTTTTGATTCACATTCTGTAAGCCTTAGAATTCTTGGACTTCTTAGTTTTTGCTAAATGACATCTCATTGTTAGCTTGATTTGCATTTTCTTGATTACTGAGCATGTTCATATGTGTCTTGGCCATATTTATTACTTCTGTGAAATGCCTCTTTGTGTCTTTTGCCCATTATTCTAGTGTGTTATATTTTCTTTTTATATTGATTTGTAAGAGTTCTTCCTATAATTTAGATAACAATCCTTTCCTGATTATGTGTGTTGCACGTATATTCTCCCAATTTATAGCTTGATTTTTTTTACTTTTCTTAAGATGTCTTCTTCATAAAATGTTTTTTAAAGAAAAATGTCAAACATACAGAAACATAGAAAGAATATTATAGTAACAGTGTGCCCGTAACACAGCTTCCATAATTACCAATACATGGCCAGTCTTATTTCATCTATATCCCCAGGCTCTCTGCCTCCCTTCTCCCCACTTTCTTGACTTATTTCGAGGCAAATCTCACATGTCGTTATCATTTCATATGTAAATATTCCAGTGCATACATATCTCTAAAAGATGGGATGCCTTAAAAAAATTACCATAATGCCCTTATCTCACCTGAAAATTAATATAAATATTCATTAATATGTTAAAATATCCATTTCACTAATTCCCTTATAAATTTTTATTTTTATGTTGTTTAATTTGAGACTCAAATAAGGTCCATGTATTGCAGTTGATTTTTTAAAAAATTTATTTATTTATTATTATTTTTTA